CTACTATTTCTCGCCAAATACGGCGATAAAATCAATTTCGAGGGCTTAGCCCCTCCTAAACAGTCAGATATTCCTTTCACTGAATCATAATTACCGTAATACCGGTATTAATAGCAATAATTTTTAGTTTTACCAAATATTCAACTCATTCCCACTTTAGACATTTTAACCCCTTTTAATTTATTTTGACATTTTTTCAATTGTTTTTTATATTTTTGGGTATTTTATAGTATTTTCCCTCAAAGTAACGTTCATTTATTTGTTTATGAATTTATTTTTGTTGATTGTTTTGGATTATGAGCTACAAATTGTAGCTTAATTTAAGGTTACAAAATGGTTACATTTAATGTTCATTTATTTTAACATAACTTCACTTATAGATGACTCGTGCCTTCGATAAAGTAATTAGTCCTCAAGTATTCACTACTTTACTTAACACTGAAATCATTGCCAAGAAGTGTGAACTTAGAAACAATAATAAATCTTACGACCGATTTCAAAAAATATATTTTATTTTTTAAAGCAATTGTCTGTCGTATAAACCAGTCAATGGAAACAAATATGACTCAAAATAACAAATAAATTAATTATATTTAAGACAAATGCATAATATATTAAATATAAATTAAAGTACTGTATAATAGTTTGAGTAATAAAAGAAATACTGATTTCAAAATTTGTTGAAAGACTCGGTATTATTGAGGCATTGGTTTTTGTACGAAACTTCCGTTCGGGTGCCGGAGAATAGTCTATAATAGAAACAAACAATTAGACAGTGTTTGCAAACTGTTGTAATAATAATGAGACTTACATTGAGTTTTGTGAGGTCGTCCCTATTCACAGACACTTGTATTTCAAGCGAAAGACATGCGATTATAATCTGTTGAGTATTGTCTTGCGAAGGATCGGTGCTGTCATTCCACTCCAAAGTTAACTGATTTTTCCCGTGTTTTGTCTCAAATGTAAACTGTTTGAGTGGCAACTGATCTAAATATACTCTGCTAATAACACCACAATTCATGACCATTACGTCAAATGAGTGGTCGTACACCTGGACTACTATTCCCTTAGTTTCCATTTTGCCGATGTGTTTGATATAGATATTAAGGAACAGACGGGCACTCAAGTCACTCA